ACTTCGCAATATCTTCTTTGCAGGTAGCTGTTGTACGATATGGTGTGGTCAGCAGTAGAAAGGTTTGAAATCCCAAATCAAGAGGATTTACTGTTCGGTTACCGGACCGGAAACCCAACAAACCATAATGGGATAAGTATGGCGTTGACGCCGGTCACAACCAAACCGTGCTTACCATCCAAGTAGGGTGATGATAGTAGCATAGATCGAACTTTGGGATTTAGGGCTCAGAGCAAAGCACAGATGGAAGAACTCTTCTGTTAACCCGGACCCATGCTTGTTTAAGAGGAAGACAGAAGAGAAGGAGACGCATATAAATGACCACTGATTGAGCGTCTCATTAAAACCGACTCGATTGATTCTAACTGTGCAGGTTTTGACCTGAAGGATTTACCTGGAAGAATATACATTTTTGGAAGTACGTTAACTCCCTGACAGACAACCACTGCTACAAAAATACCCAACTTGATTGCAGTAAGCATAAGCATATCTATCTTTCTCGATGGACGATTTGGCCGAACATCTTGCAACCCCGATTTGTTTGGCTGTTCCCTAATCATCTGCACACCAGTGCCGTACCGTAAACTTTTTTTAATGAATTATTATGACCATAAAATTTAGGTTAACGGTTAAATAATTATCGGATTCAAGAAGTAGTATTGACAAGTAGAATAAATTGTGAATTTATTCCTAATAATTGTAGGTCATCGTAAGCATACCTTTTGTAGCCGTAAAGCACTAAGTTCAGTGAAAAGCGTAAACGGTAGAGTGGGGAAAGTTTGAATCACGAAATTTCTAATACAGTTTGTAAAAACCTGTTTTTTGTTCAACCAAAAAAAAACGCGCTAAAGCGGGTACCGTAGAGTTACAGCATATGTTTATGCCAGATGGAACACAACGATACTGGGATCTAGTTGACGGATGAAACACCAGGAAATGAAATCTTTTTGCAGTGGCGATGTGGTGTGCATAAGAATCTTTCGCTTGCATTCCAATGATGTTCGCATGGGTTAGCTATCAGCTCCCTTAGTGGTCGGATTGAAGAGACACGACTAATGATGGTCAGTCAATGTCGAAGCAGTTTAAAGTCTTTCTTTAGGAGACTGGAAAAAAAACAGCAGGTGGGCAGTGAAGTAAAACGAGGAAAACACACTGCTAAACGGATTTGGAGATAACTGACTATTGAAATTGAAACTAACGAAGTTTACGGATATGGGAAAAACTTCGTCGAAATTGACTGATGATATGTTGATCGTGAGAGATCCAGTGAAGATTAGCATAAAAAACCCAGTTATTCAATACAGTTTACCTAAGCCAATCGATACCAGTTACGATGGAAAAGAAAAGCTTGATAAATTGTTGAACGTTTTCCAAGTTATCAGAATAATGCGGAGGGACCAGAAGAATCGGAGATGGCCTGACATAAAACCACATCGTCGGTGTGCTTGAATACAGACAAAATAGGATCATTAGCAGACAAATTGCTACTATATATGGAAAATAAGTATTGCGTAAGGATTGCACTTTTGAGTAAGTCGAAGCTGTTCACCAAACATTTTGAAATAGTACATTGATAGTATTGATCGTGTACTAATCGGGATTGATAAAATCAATAGTGGAGTGATTGCAATTGAAATAAAATCAATGATTAAAAAGTAATCCGTAGTGTATCATCGGTTGACTGAATCAACCGGTGCTTTGCCACGTCGGAACTCATTAAAATGAGTGAGCACTTGTTCAGTGTTCGTAAGAATGACAGTTTTATCAACAAAAAACTTTTGGATAAAAATCCGCTAATCTTTGGTTTGGAGTCCGGTTGTGGAACCAAACACAAAATGTCGTGAACGACAGACCTTTTCTGGGGATTCGAAGTTCCCTTGGTTAACACATCCGAAACAATCGATGAAAGTTCTGAGACAAAACCTCACATTTGATTGGCCCGGACGAACAATGAGGCGATCAGACGGGGAAATTGAATTTCGGAGTTTGTATGCTCAGTTCTCAGAACACATTTCAATCTCAGATTCGGACCTAGAAGTGCTGCGATCTACATTTTTGATTGAATATTACAGAAATACGGAAGCAAGTAGGCGAGTACGAGTACGAGCTGGATAGGGGGGGAGGGGGGAAGGGGGCGAGGCGGGGGGCGGGGGGGAAGGAGAGAAAAA